CTCAGAGCAGCACATACATAATATGCTGTCCTAGTGTTTTACCTTTCCCCCCTAACTCTACACTATACTGTACCATGGTAAGATGAAATCTCTACCATTCCAGCAATAAAGTCATTAAAATAGCTTACAGCATATTTGTCCACCGTGAGCCACTGCAAATAGCAAAAAACCCCTACAAACTGATGAAATGCTTAAAAAAGATTAAAAGCACAAGCAAGATTCTTTGCTTAGGTTTACTTCTACATCGTATACTTTGAGGATTTTCTCTAATCAATACTGCAAAGAAGCTGCGCATTTATCCAGAAAATTAATTTAAAATGTTTCCCTAATTCTGCATGTAACAGCATCTTGATGTTTAACAGAACGGAAAGCTCCAACCCACTGAACTAATCCTAGAAAAAAGCTTTAAATTTGAAAAGCCAACTTTAAGCGGTTACTTTATAAAGATAAAGCCATTCACAGGCAGATGTTGGATTTTTATAAATTAACAAGGTATACTTTAGTCACTGATCTTTACACAAAGTTTAGCAAAAATCTGATCAATGCAGCAAATTAAGTGCTTTATAAGAGATTTATATAATCAAAGGAAAGAAAAAAATTACCATTTTTTTTAAAACTAAGATAAATACTATGATGTCAGTTCTGGTGTAAGTTATTTAGCTGAGATAGCACACTCAATGACAGCAAGAAGGCAGAAGAACAGAGGCAAAAAAGAGGAATGGACAAGAGCTTGTATGTGAAAAGAGATTCAAGTATAGGCCTGAGGTGACAAGGAGATGGGAAAGGAGAAAAAAAAGCCAACACTAGCAGAGAAAAGGAAGAGCAAAGCAAAAAGGTAATACAGAAAACAAAATAAATGGAACCAATACTTAGTGCTTCTGGTACAGTGGCTATGAGCTCGGTACGTGATTAAGCAGCACAGTGTTTCGCAATGGAGAAAAATACTTTCCTAGTGTTTTTACAGACAGAGCCATTATTAAAATCCATTTCCAAAACTGCTGGTGTAATTTTTAAGCCAAGAGTATACACTTTGCTGAATAGCCTTTTAAAACCATACCCATTTATGGGCCCCAATTAAACAATAATGAAAAAGAACACCATAACCCCCCTAATTTCTGTTTAGCCAAACAGGTTTAACAGTGGTTTTAAGCAGCAAGATATTTTAGGGCCAGCTATTAGTGGTCCTCGTAGAGTGGGCACTTAAGACTGGCCCTGCTGACTTCAGATCTACACCTGCTTCTAGACTTCTCTTTCTTTAAACACACAGGACTGTGGGTAAAGACCCCATATTTTGCCTGCAATGTAATTCTACAAGAATCCCAAACTCTCCTCCCCCTTGCTAGGGTCCAAAATTCCTGACATGAAATTCTATTTCTTGGCAAAATTATTACTATCCTTATTAAATTTATTACACAATGCTGATGCATACATTGCATGATTTTTAAGAAATCTTCAGTGCCTTCTGCCCCCTCCACATTCTTGATTATACCCCTTCCATGAAGAAACCTGACTTTTCACGTTCATTCGTTACAGCCCTTCATTACAGAAGAATGTTCTACTTCTGCTGTGCTTCCAACCATTACATCCTTTCCTCCTTTCTTAAAGCTAAAGCACCTGAACACCATAGTCTTAGGCATAATAGTCTAATACTTAAGAATTGCCAAGGGGGTCACAGTGAAATGGCAGTCAAACCAAAAGCCTATTCATTCTGTTCAATATCAGGAAACCTGCATTCACCCAGTCTACAGCTGCACTCTGCATTTAGACTTTTTTTTTTTTAATTAAAGTTTTGAATAAAATTAACTATCTTTAAACTTGTCCCTGTTCAGTTTTTACTGGTAAGCTGCAGTGCATAATTATAGCCCCATTTTTGTTTTGTTAGCCAGTGTTGCTCAAAGCAAACAACATGTAACTTGAAAGGGTCAGTACCTCCTCGTTGGTGAAAGGGCAGGTTATTTATTGTATACTGAACTAATGCTTAAGCTTAGCAACTTTGTCTTAGCTCACATACTTATTTATTTTTAAACAATACAGTAATTATTGCCTCTTCACATGTCCAGATATAGTTTTGGAAATTATCAGTTTAATAACTAAAGACTAAAATCAGGAGAAATCTATGTTATGGCAAATAAGCCACACTGTCCCCTAAAATTCAGATCCCGTCTATGGAAAAGGAAAATGCATCATCATTCTTCTATGCCCCGTACTGTAAGATAATAACAAAACCAGAAAAAAAACGGTAGAAACAAATGTCAACCCAGTATAAAGTTTCAGCTGGCAGCATTTACTTCAGTTTTCCCTCTCTGTGAAAATCTTAAAGGAGGAGCAGATGACAACATGATGTCATTGGTGCTAGTTTTACATTGGATAACCAAACCACTTAGAATATTCTAACAAGATTTTTTAGTACAGAGATACAGTAAATATTTAGGAGCATATTGTGTACTCCAGCACAGATGACTGTCTTTAACATGGTGCATAGCTATCCAGTGTCAATAGATACAGGGGGCTACATTTTCTACAAGTTCTACTGACAAGCTCATCTTCACTTACGCTCTAGTTCAAGGAATTGTATTTTAAACTGGACTGTTTTCAAAGATGCAACACTACTATAATCATTCATTCAGTCTGTTAGTAACTAGTCTAACCTTTTACTTGCAGTAAATTTCTGCACGAAGTTACTTGAAATTCCTGTTTAAGCTTTCATTTTATCTTTAGTCCAAAATATTTCCTATTACTTCACAAATACTACTCCAAATAAGAAAAAGTACTTGCAAAAGATACTTATCTATCAGTTATTTTCACCATCTCTAGCTCAGAAGGAAACACCTAATCAGATGTTTGACTACTGTGTAATTTAAAACACATTACTACCATAACCAACCCCAAAATATCAGTGCATTTACTTGAAATAATTATTAACGTGTATTGAGGAAATGAGTTTACTCTCCATATTCATGGTGTTTATTTAGAAAGAAGACTAAAAGTGGTAAGAAATTTTTCATAAGAAATGGCCAATTTTCTTTTTCAAACTCAAGGTGCTATGTCTTAGCTTCTGTAGGAACACTTGTTTTTTCTAGATGTCACCTGACAAGCTGGTGGCAGTCCTGTATTTGTCAAGCATTCTATCAGAGCTGTATCATAAGAGCCATAATAATTTAGAAGTAGCTACATTCATGTAGGTAACATTCCTACTTCTTTAAGCCATGGTTTTAATGTCAGAAATGGCTTCCCTCACTGGTTTGATTTATTCATTAAGGTAGATACTCTAAGTATGTAGCAGAATACCTTCAGTAACATGTAACCTCACATTTTAGCACCAAAAGAGATATCCATCCTACAGAATGTGAGCTTTGAATTTATCATCAGTATATATGAGGCATAGCGAAAAGTGTTACATGTATCAAAAGTATAATATTGTAACTCGGATTTTACATTTAAAAGCTTGGGGTTTAGGCAGAAAAATATGGTCGTACATGTCATTTACCACAACTGGGTTATTTTTATAAATCTTGATTATTTTCATATTAACATCAAATTCACTGTTTAAAACAGCCAGAATTAGCATAAAAGAGGCTGACATACGCATGTCTTAGGGGAAGTTGTAAAAGCATCACTAAAAAAAACCCCTCTCTCATCTTCTAAGATCATGATCTACTAAAGAGATCTCTTAACTTCCCCCCTATACACACATATATAAAAACACACAGAGAATTAAATACATATACACATGAATTGCTATCAATTCCTGTTCCAAAGTGATAAAATATTCACTAGCTTTCTCCTTATTTACTCACACTCTTACTTATCAGACTAAAAAAAAAAAATAAAAAAAAAATCCAGTTTCAATCACTTCCTAAACAAGATTTTGAGAACATGAAGGAGGCAACTGTACATTTCATAAAAGTTTTTAAGAATTGGTCACTATAAACTGGAGGTAGTTTTGAAAAATGTTAGCTTGAACTAATTTACTAAATCAGAAGTAACGTTAATCTACAAAAAGATTTTTAAAAATGAAATCTCTTCTGTTAGGAAGATTGTTTCTGTATTATTGAATACATTCTTTTGAAAAAATGTAGCTTGTTTTTTCTGGTTGTTACCACTCAGCTTTCGACATCAGGCCAAGACTCATGCACTTGTTGATCTTCCTCACTGAAAAGTGTGTTGATGCTACCTGAAGTTGTAACATGAACTCAATGTGGCTTCCCAGCCATTTCCAAGGTCTTTTTCTACTAACGACAGATTTTAGAACTTCCTGTAAAGTGTATTAATTCTAAAATAGTGCTTCTGAAACTGCATTGTACAGGAACTGCCACTCAATTTATCTAAAGAGAATTACAGTTTACTCCTGAAAACTCAGATGATAATCTAGATAGAAAAAGATTTGCATGAGCTCTTCCACTTTCAGTTTTTATCAGTATAAAATTTCACTGGGTAACTTTTATACTGCATCACAGTCACGTGGTCTCATACGTGCCAGAAAATACTTCTTTTGTAGATTCGAAGTGTAACAATGGAAACTGTTGAGCCTTAGTAATTTGTTTAAAATACAAAGATTAAAAAAAAGCCCAAAGAAAAATCCCTCTCAGCAAAATTGCTGTTAAACGGACATTATTAAAAATACTAAACCCATTTTTTTTCCTTCCCCGTCTTAAGAGTAATCCATCAATTTATTCTTGCAAACAAGTGTTCCACCGCAACGGGGGGAGAGAAAAAAATAAAAGTATCTCAGTACTTATAGTCTATTATAAATGAAATTAAATTATGTATTGTGTAACCCTGTAGCTACTTTTAGCAAACTTCCCACTGTTATTTTAAATAGTGTGCAACAGGAAAAAAGACAAAAGAGAATTCTCATCTGCTTTTCTTGTTTTCCCTTCACAAAATGGTAACATTCTGATATGTATATAATGTGCCATATTCTAATACAAGTATATTTGGCTGGGAGTTCCCAGGGTGAAGTCTGTTGCCAGCAATGGACCCACTGGGAAGAGCAAATGCCTAGAAAATTAAATCAAATCCGAAGTGAAGTTTCGAATAACATCCAAAGCTCCTGTATCAAAGCCACATATATCCAACATGCCTCTGTCATCCGGATCTGCGATCATAAAACCATTTGAGGTCATTCCACAAACAATCAGTTTGGCAGGAATACCCATTTTCTAGAGGAAGGAAAAAAAACTAATAAAAAAATCAGAGCACACATATACAGTTTAAGTACACTTAAACTTGCCAGAGGGCCAAATCTTGCTACCTTGCTTGCATAAACCACTGTCTGAATAGGCATACTGATAGAAATTAGATATGCCATAACCAGAATTGCAGACTGCCTGTTACCATTGTACTCAACTTGCAGTAGATACATTTAATGGATATTAAATGGATATAATTATAATAAGGTATATTAGCACAACTTTTCTGCAATATTAAGATTCATAGATTATTTCAAATGCCAACATTGCATTTGCTATTCTGCAGTTCATTCTGAGAGAAATTTTTCAGTAATAATTATCAAATAATCTAATAGGAGTCAAAGCGTGGTTTTGTCTAAGGCAAGGATTTTCAAATGTTGGCTGAACAAATGCAACAACTGTGGCCTGGACAATTTGCTAAATGAGCTGAATTTGCAGGTTAGTAACCTGTAAGGTAAAGCAAAGCAAATGGCATGAAAGCCAGAGTACAGGAGCTCTTTGTTTAAAGAACAAATTTAGGAATGGGAGCTAGTCTCAACTAAGAAAACTAAAACACAGTGGGCAAGTTAAAAATTTTTGGTATTAATTCCAACTAGGTGGACAGGATATGAAGATTAATGTCCATACATATATGCTTGCCAAAAAGTGTTCTTTGTAGTTTAAAAAATAGTTCTTTTAAAGCATAAAAGATTGTTTGATGGTTAAATAAGAGTTTCAAATAGCTTGGATAAGGTATTTTTCTTAGTTCTATTTTAAAAAAGATGGAGTAGCCCCTTTAAAACATAACGAGCTTTCTTCAGAAGATACTATCACCTCATCCTATTGACACCTTCCCTACAGGCTTATCTTCCTCACTTCATTTAAACTTTGTGGTATCTACTGCAGACATCAAAGTTAAATTTAATTCTGTGAGCTGAATTTCATTCTGTAAGAACTACAAAAAACTTATTCATTGCATTATATATAGAATGCAGAAATTCGTGTATTCCCTGAATACCAAACAAATTTGCATACTGCAGTACACTGAGCAGGGTAGGATAATTCCAAATCCTTTTAGCAATTCAGTGGTTTTAAATATGCACAATTAGTGCAATAAGTGCACTAATTCTGCCTAACTGCAGAATATATGCATTGTTAACAATATATAATTATTCACTGAAACAAGCCACAACTAGTTCAGTCTCTAAAATGTTTTTAGAACTGGTACTTATTTGGTACCGTATTACCAATTATAAATAGTCAGAAGCATATTTACCTCTCTGTACTCTCTAAGAGCTGTTGCAGGATGAATATTTCCAGCAAAGGTCTCGTTATCAGTAAATACAATGAAGACATCAGCAGCTGTTTGAGTTTTTTGAGCCCATATCATTGGAAGGGAACAATCAGTGGTACCCATAGGAATCTTAGAAAGAAGAAAAAAAATATACATGGAACACATTAACACAGGAATTAGAAAACCATGGAAAAATTACTTTTTATGTAAGCTTCACGTTTTACCACGGAGGCTACTTGGTTAAACAACAGTTCACTTATTAATTTCATTTCAGTTTTGTCCAGGTTTTTTTTTTAATTTGCTATTTTTTAATATTATTTTCAGACTAACACATTGTGACCTAACACTGCCATTCTAAATTGCAATGTTTAATATCCAGCAGTTGAAACAATGACATTTTCTGGACTTTCTGTAAATAAAAGGGAGAAAAAAAAATCCAGTGTTTTACTATACAGATACAGACTAAACATGGTACTAGAATTGGTTACAAAGAAAATACAATGTAACTGCTGAGAGTTCTACACTCCATGCTAGTAACAGCTATTTCCTACATTTTTTTTTGTTTGGTTTGGTTTTTTTTACATACTTCATACATTTTCACTAATACTTGAGGTAATGTCATATCAGCCGTCACTGGACACGGGACCATTTCATGTGAAAAGGCAACAATATGGGAATCCTTCTCAGTACGTGCTACAACCTGAGAAAGAGGAAGACAAAAAATATTTAGTTATATTATTCACAATTTTTAGTGTCAGAATCAAGGCATTCCCTACTAAACACACAACATGACATATCCTTTTGTATTTAAGTCACCACGGCTCCTCATATGCACTAACGCTTCACTCGACACTTTAGATATTCTCTAATATTACTTCAAATAAACACTGCAAAAGTAAGAGCTAAAGACCGCTCTAATTACTGTAACTAAAAATACTTCCATGTTTCTTCTCTCCACTCTGACATAAAACACTAAACATTTTTAAACATCAACAAAAAGTTTGACTCTTCTATAATATAAACACACAAGAAGCTTTAGAATATCAAATTGAGGGGAAAATGATTGTGATACAAAGGCCGTATTGATAACTCAAATGCACACAAGAATTATCCCAAAATTTCTTAATCCAATCTGTGTTATTCTATGAATGCTCCTGGAAAAAAATTTACATGTATTTTCAGCTAAGGTAAGTGAAAAAGCAGCCTTGACCACTTTGATTTATACTGGAAACCAACTTCTTCAAACTGATCTTTCTGAACTTGGTTGCTAGTACCTTTAAGCATCTGGTCTACCAGTGAGGCACACGGTCACATCTTCTGTACCCAACAAACATTATATATAAATTTCCTTCTGATTTCTAACTAGCTTTAGAGCACCTCTGTATCAAAAGAGCAGCTCAAGCTGCAAATAGTTATAAATAAAATAAGGTTAATGTCTCACCATACACATTGCTGCTGCAACTGTGCTAGCATTGAGCACGCTGCCCAAAACTTTTTGTGTCATTGATGCACTGACATCAACTGCAAGTAAGAAGCGTTTTCCTGTTGGTTCAACTGTCTAAAAGGGAAAAAGAAAAAAAAAAGACAATAGGTACACATAATATATTAATTTCTTCTTACTCCTTCTGCTTTCAACCCTATAAGCAGGGCTTTTTTTCATTCTTTCTGGGGTAACGCTAGGACAATAATGTTACAAAAGCTGAATATATCATGAAGTTTTGATTCTTTAATAAAATCCCAATTACTAAGATTTTTTTTATAAAGTTTCAAAGTTGTTATCCACCCAACAAACTTTTCTTCATTATTTCATACGCTTTTAGAAAACAGAGAATTTTTAAAAAGCTTATCAAATTGAAGAATTATATTACCTTGAAAGTTTTGTAAAATGAGGCATCTAAAGCTTCTAAAATGTCTTCATCAGGACGCCACCAAAGCTTCCCTCTGCTTCCATGTCCAGCTTTATAGGTTTCTAATGCAACCAAAATATGGAGTGGATGTATTCTACCCTACAGGCAAAAGAAATCAACAGTAAGTTTTTAAAAATCTGAACTCCTTAAAAGAAGTAAAAAACAAAAACTAAAAATAAGATCCTACTACAAAAATCTCTGATTTAGTATGTTGTTAATTTAAATTTGTTAAGTATGAAGAGTTCATGCAGTCTTTACACAGCTGCTGTATGAACTAATGCTTGTCAGTTGGTGGTAATGGACCTCCCTCCCTTTCCAGAATCATCCAATGATCTTCCAAATGTTATCTTATGCCATCACCAGAATTTTGGTGAAATTTTACAGCTATGATTGTCCAGTGCTATTTTCTATCGCAGGCTTACAGTAAGAAAAGTCCCTGTCCTGCTGACGGGAAAGGAGTTGAGCTAGGAAAAGAACAAATGTAAAACTAGTTTTGTATCAGATACAGTAAAACTGGAAAAAGAAACTATTTTCAGAATACAGCATTCATTTGCCTCTTACTATAAGGCGGCAGTCCAAACATTTTCTTTTCTTGCTTCCCCTACATAAACCAAAGCAGTGGCTGCCGCATGCTAAGTATTCTAAACCACACCTTTGCTTTACTGATCTATCACCATTTTGTTATCTCTCTCCTCAAGGGGAGTTTCAGTCATTAATCACTACCAGCAGCAAACCTTAGCAAATCTGAATGCCTGCCCATTGTCTGTTTTCCATCAAGGTATTGTGCCACCATCTTTGCTCTCCCTTCTCCAGTGCCTCAGTAGCTATGTCTGATTAAAGAAGAAACCAGAGAAAGGGAAGAGCGATGGGATGAGAAAAAAAAAAGGACCTACTGTTGTTCTTGTCAATTCAACTATGGTCTTGAAGAAGTTAAGTGTCCTGATTTTAATCTCCCCAAGGCACAAAACTATTAGAAAAAGCCACTTGTCTTCTTCTATGTCCCAATAAATTCCTGAAAACTTCATGCTCCCTTTGGGGAACCCTCTTTTCATACCTCTCTGATGGATAGTAAAGCAATCTGAAAGGAAAAAGTCTCCTTGTTCCATCTTCTTTTTCCTCTCAGCTGCTATGCTAGTGTCTTCAGTCACTTCCTAGGACCCTACACAAGTGACTTGACTCACTTCTTAAGCTTGTATTACTGATTCTGAATTACAAGACTCAGAAGCAATGGATAAACCCCAACAGGCAAAGCTTGCCACAGCTCTAGCTTAAGAAAAGATCCTAGCTGTCATTGTATTTAATTTGTAGAAAAGTTTCAGCAATGGGGGGGGAGGGGAGGAACCAAATGAGAAATTATAAGCATAAGGTTTAAAATAAAGGTGCAGGTATTCCACTGCATTTTTTTAAAAGAATAAACTGCACATTTCCTCCAAACAACTTCCCTTTTATTTTGTAAAGAGGTTGCCTGAAGAAATACAGTTTAGGAAGAATTAAAACCCACAAAGGCTGGCACTGGTTATGAAAAGATTCTTACCTTTTTTAGCAGTTTCTCATTTCTCAGTCTTTCACATACTATTGCCACCTCTGAACCTCGTGGTTCAAGCACAGAATTTGCTGTCAGCTTTCCTAAATTTCTCAACAATACAGAAATGGACATCTCTTTCAGCAATGCCTTCCAAACCTACAATCGAAGACAGAGAAGGGAAAAAAAAAAAAAAAAGAGATGAGATTCCCAAACTACAGGAACTGACATCTGTACATTAAGTAAGTGTATTTTAAAATAAACATACAACTTATATGAAGATCTTCATTATTTTAAATTAGCTACTTGGGTAAATAACTTGAAAAACAGCGTAAGGGCTATTTTTTATGGAAATCCAGACTTAAGACTCTGAAAAGTGTTACTTTAAAGAGAATACGGATTTAATGAAGTTTACCTACCTCTTTAGATTTCAAATGGTTTGTCAGGAGATGCTCTCTAACTAAACCATATTCCTCTATTAAATGAGTAACTTCCAATTCATCTTTTGTGCGTTTTACTTTCTCCACAGCCTCCAGATACTTTAAGAGTTTCTCAGTCTCAGCAGAAACTGCTTTGTCTTTATAAGCCTCTTGGACATCTTTCCACCCCTTGGTAATATATTTAGTGACAACAGCAATTCCTATTGAAAAGAAAAATATTTTCCAAGCAGGATTACCATCTTTATACTGGCATTCATCATTCTAGCAAGCAAATGAGTTAGCAGGTTTCATTGTCAGACCTGCCAAGCAGCTATATAAAAGGTCAGCCATGCATAACTTAGAGCAGTAGTTTTAATTACTGTATTATTCTCCTTAGAAGTAAGGAGCCTAACATATTTGAAACCAACCGATCCTCCCAAATAACAAAAAAAGTGTTATTTCATCATTTGTAAGCAAATTACCTTCTCTTGACATAAGGAAGAAAAAGACAGAACAAACTCTGTTTACCTTTAAGATAAACAGGTCAATTTCCGATGTGACCACTCATGTTTTTAAGGTGCAATTTACAGGATACCATCACTAAGGAAGGATCAGTCTACAATGGTATTTGGGTTTCCAAAATAGTTCCACGGTAAATATAAAAGGTTTAAAACACAGTATGTTCAGGTAAATAAAAATGTATTACCTTCACTGGCAGGTTTTAGGTGGGATAACCTCAGAAGATCTTTATGAGACCAACCACTTCTTTGTTTGTATTTTGTAACTGCTAAAGCAACAGCCATGCCATTCTTTCCATTGTACCAATCTGCAACAGCTTTCCTCAGTGCACGGCCCCACATGCCACATTTCATGCCCTCCTTCAGATCTTTTTTAAATTGGATGAAAGTAAAGAGATGGGTTGGTATGCAACACACCTCAGGAACAGCTTTAAATGCCGCTTGTTTCGTTTTCGCATCAGAACACTGTGAGCAAATTGCAAGAGCAAAAAGCAGGGGCTCCTGTTTTGCTGCTCTGCCTTCTTGACTAAATGTCTTTATTTCTTGAACAACTTCACAACCTCTACCCTCTTCAATCAGTCTTATTAAAGCTGCTGCATTTTCAAAGCCCAGCTTCTGCTCCTTGATGTAATAAGTACCACCTTCTGAACCAAAACACAAGAAACGTTGCAGTCGGTTCATATCGGTGACGTGCCACACATAACCACTTTCAGAGTTCGGCACCTGCTTTTCATTCAGGAGTTGCACTTGGTTTTCCTCGTCCTCCATTGTTTACACTTCAAAGAGGTCTGCTGAAAGAAAAACAAAGTTTATTAAGAACTATTGTGAAAACCTGATGACTCTTCTATCACTGCTTAGCAAAGAAATATATCTTCTCTATACACTTCTAATTTTTCTTTCACAAATTTATTATTAAGAGTATACTCTAAGTGTGCAATAATACGTATCAGTTAGGGGAAAAGAAACAATAAAACCTTTGAGTTACAAGGGTGGCAAATTTATTTCCTTGAAACCAACTTAAGTGGCACACAGAAAACATGGCTGGTATTAGGTGCTTTTGCCACTAATATATTACACCAACTGGTGTAATCTACCCAGGTAGATTTTTTAATTGTATAATAAATTGCTCAAAACTCAGATCTTGCTCTACTCTATGTTGCTGAAGAACTGGTAATACTGACCAACTGAAGAAACACGATGCTAAAATAAAGAACTAAAATACCGAAAAACTGTTTAGTCAGATGCCTTTGTGAAAGTTTAAAGATGGTGGGTTTTCAGCAAGGCTTAAACAACAATTTTTTAACAACTGACAGTAGCTCAAGAAAAAATTATCTTTATTACAGGCTCAAATAGTCTGCTGTTTCAATTGAGATCCAAGAAAGCACACAGACATAACAAATTCTGTACTGCTTCACATTTGAGGTTAAGAAGCAAAAAACAGCACAAAAATTCACAGTCTTTCAGGTCTTTATATTTATACACTCTTGAATTGCAATGAAGTTTATCTGTAATATTTGTAGGCAACAAGACTGGTCTTACTTGGGGAACATCTAGCATAGTAAAGTTCAAGCCATAATATTTAAACTGAATTAAATTCAGGTGAAATGAAATAATCAAGGAAGGGGAAGGAAATTCATCACTATCACTATCTCCAGAACACTACCATGACAACAACAATTTGGTTTTCTCAGTTCTCACCAAACAATAAAAAGACCCTAAATAGCACCAAGAGGTCCTATTTAAAAAAAAAAAAAAAAAAAAAAAAAAGCACCACTAATCCACTCCATCAAACTGCATATAGATCTTCAAATACGCGCACATTAAAATCTGAGTACACACAAATGACATTTCAAAGAAATCCACTTAATTTTTAAGTATTGCAGATATCTGCTTCTGACATGCTTGTTTGGATACTTAAGATAAAAACCATTTTGCTCCATTCACCAGGATAAGCTAGCACAAATAAGTGGCACTAGTGCAGACAAGAGATTTTTTTGATTTACAAACAACTTCCCTACTTTCTCTTTAACATAGAATTTTCCTTTCTCTGCAAGTGATGAGAAATGTTCCCTTCCTCCATTCTCGCCTACCTGCAGTGATGTGCTGTCTGCATCCAGAATTAAATAATAAATAATCATTAGTGCTCCCATTATATTCTATATGCTGCTAAAATCATAAAAATAGAAACCATATGCTGATACCTGGTTTAAAAATGCAGGTTTCAGTCAGAAATTAACTAAGAAATATCTTTCATTGTATTATTCAGAGCACCAGTGCCCAGCTATTTTTCCCTAATGCTTAAATATTCTAACCGTGTTTCCTGCCAAACCAATTTAAATACACATCATGGTTGAGCCAGCTTTTTCACTGACATCTGAAGCATGCAAATACACTGAAAATAACAAGGGTGGTATTCACAATGCATGAATACTGTATCAGTACATTTTAATGTCTAAATACATTTTATTTCAACATATTTCAATTAGCTGGTTTCATTAAACAGTAGGTAATGTTTCATAATAAACATACAAAACCCAAACAAAAAATCCCGAAATCACAGTCAGCATCCATTCGTTTATCAGAAAAAAAAAGGTACATGGAGAGATACCATTATATTGAAGCAAAAATAAGAATGGGAAGCATAAAGGATCATGCATGAGTAATGAGATCTCCATATATATGAAATCTTGAGACTAACTTGTTGTTACATCTTTCATACCCCTGCTACAATGAACATTACTACATTAAAATGAGCCTAATAGGAAAACCTCTTTCAGTCACCTATGGATTACCAAGACTTAAACTGAACGGGAAGGACCATGCCTTTGGCTAAACAAAACATTTATGATCTCACATTTGCTGACTATATTTTTCATTTGCACAGGTTCCATCTGATATGTCTATTTTTATTTTAATTTTCACTTGGAGAATCTCATTTGTCCTCACACGCTTGGTTTTATAGTCACAAATACAAATTAGCTCCCATTGTCATCACCACCCTCAGAATGGGAACAAAACCTAAATTAAATAATTATAACACTTCTAAAATTACAAATAATACTTATCTGGTTTGAAATCTAGATTCATTTATACTGTAATACAAGATCCATATTTCCATCAAAGGTATCATCCTGAAAGGCAAACAGTTCACTACTTGATTGTTACTTGTGACTATGCAGTGTGATGTTAATTGTATTGTATTAAAGAAGTTTAGAGCCAACCATCAGAGAGAAAAATTCTCCTGCTGTACTTCTCTATTACACCATATAACAAACCTAACTTACGCACGTTAATAATGGATAATTTTTATGTTTACTTTTGTATGGACTTATGGCACTGAAAAGAGGTATGTGCTAGCATCCATAGGCTTCGGACACAAACATCCATATTTTAAAACATGGTAGCATCCATAGGCTTCTGACACAAACCCATATTTTAAAAGATAGTTGCAAATGTACACTTTCAGTTTTTCTGAAGCTTAGCTCTTTAATTTGCCTTCTTAGGAATATACCACGATCTACAAAAACAGGTGCTGTTATAATTTCCACCCTTTGTAAAGCTTCATTTTCACTCAGTCCTCAAAGTCTTCTTCTCAGATGATACGTAGTATTTCACAATGGAATGAATTACCTGCAGTACTTATCTCATTAAGAATGCCTAAGACCGGTCTTCTGAAACCTTTAATGAAGTTATTAATGCCTTTGGATAAACAATCTAGGATACAAAACAGACTTACCTCAAATGGCTTATTGCTGTCTCAGGGATTTAAAAAGAGCTTCAAACTCACATAATCTTTTGGATCCTAATACAAATTGTAAATTCTTTAAAATAAATTTATATTTTAAAAATTACCCTTGAAATCTGCAATAGGTGATACAAACCAGTAATTTCACTACTGAACAGCCACACTAGAAGTATCAAATTTAAACTTTGCCAAGATCTACTGGACAAGCACTTATTCAGTGTTGAACTATTTAAATCATGGTGGCCATTTCTAAATACTGTTTTATACTTCAACCTCACAAGTTCCCAAAGGAATTCCCTCCTTCTAACGAGACCCTCTCCTCTGCCCAGGCCTCAAGCTTCCTTCCTCCTTTAACACCTGTACAACATAGACAACTTTCACCCTTGCAGATGGATAAATGCAAATACGCACTTATCATGTGCTCTACCATAACCCTACTCTTCATCTGCTGAGCTGCAGCAGTGAACTTGAATTTCAAACACTCAATGATATTCTGGCATTTCCAGAAGGATTTCCGATTTCTGAGCTACCTGAACGCAAACAGCAGTGTGAAATGTCTTGGAAGGCACACACTAGATACTTCATAGCAAAAATTGCTGAACTAAAAATCATGGTTGCTCACCACTACTAATGAAAGAGAAAAAACGTTAAGGGAAAATTTTTAATATTCCAAATACCACATAAATTAATCAATAAGTAAAATATGGTCTGAAAGAGCCCATAAAACACTTACATCCTGGTTGGTAAGTCTTTATGTTGCTGTACATGATTGAGTTTTGTAAGTTAACCTCTGTTATTTTCTATGACTTTCACAATTCACCCCCAGTTTTCCTAAGAAATAAAATGTCTTACAGTTCAAGCTTGAGCTACATATGAAAAAAAATACAAAAAGCACAAAGTTTTAATAGAACTACAGGTTCTAACTTAATATCTTAAATTTAACTGCTATGTTAACAATGATGAATCAACCTTGGTAGTGAAAACATGAAATTAAACTTTGACCAAGTCAGGTCTTTTATGAAAAAAGTGCATTGACATTTTAAAGACAACATTTCAAACTGACTTCAAATAGATCAAAACTATATACACCTTGTTCTATATGAAATCGTGTTCTCCCACTCTGCTCTCAAAATTTTGTATAGGCATTAAACTGAAGATTACAAAGACTGTCTTCTAGTTTATTAAGCAGAGAGACTATACCCATCACACTGTGCTATCTATGGTTGTAACAAAACACACCTGCACTACGGCAGAGCCCTGACAACAACGTAAGTCCTTATTCTTCAGAAAATAAGCATCTCTATGTAAACAGGAACACCAGGAGAACGTTTCCCAAATCACAAATGATATCATTGCCAGTCTGATGACAGTAGAGGAGATACCAGACTATGCGAACAACATACTCGCTCAAGAAATTCTACTACAGAATTTGCTTAAAAACAAAAATCTATTGACTGGAGGGAAAAAGTATCTTAGCTGATGTGGTAGAACAAAATTATGAGGAAAAAGCATCTGAAGTTGATAAGCCGAAAACCCATGAGTTTAGCTGCCAGTTTCTATAAAGATGACAAATAAAAGCGACGGCGAAGCAGACGACTACCCCCAGCGACAGGCCCTTTAATCCCCTCACGGGGTTTCCAGCGCCCAGGTACCAAGCAGGAGGTGGCCATTTACGGAGATGGCCTCTCCGGATTCCTCCCACATCCGTGCCAACCCCGCCGGAGAG